TCAACAATCATCAGTAGTCGGTAGTAGCACTATTAATAGTAAATGATAAATTCTAGATATGTCCCAGACACTGTCTTAGTTCAGTGAACTCATATTAAGAGTCCTATGTAGTAAGAATTATTAATATTATTCTGTTTGTTTTAGAGATAAAAAAAAATAATGGCAAAGGTCAGCTAGCTATATGGCAGAAGACAGGTAATCTAGGAACAGCCCAGGAGTCATTAAACCACACCTTACCTTCCCTATGCCATTCCTCTTTCCCCACCAGACTGTTTACCTACAGCCAAGAATGATTTGCATATGCAAAAAGGGTTGTGAAAAGCAACAAAGAATAATAATAATGTGACAGAAATCTCATGTAGCTCAAAAGCCTGAAACATTTACTATGGGTCCTTAACAGAAAATTCTAGGCCAGTGGTTCTCAAAGTGGGGTCCCTACCTCAGCAGCAGCAGGAGCAAAAGCAAGAAACACAGATCTTCAGGCTCCACCCCAGACCTACTGAATCAGCAACTCCAGGGGCCAGGGATGAAGGAGAGAGCAACCTGTGCTTCAACAAGCCTGGTAAGCAATTTTGATGCCCGGTCAAGTCAGAGAGTCTGACTCAGGCAAATGGATGCCATCACTACGCCATGCCACCACACTGCCAGCATAAGGTGGCTTGGGCTCCATCTCGTATTACTTTATCACCTAAGTTCCTCTGTGTCACCCACACGCTCCACACCTGCTGGCTGCTATCACCATAACCCTGCCGATCCTTCTTCAGGGTCTGTCTCCACTTGGGCTGCTCCCCATGCCTGGCCGGCCCTGTTTCTATTCGGCTGACAATCTGAGCCCCAGCTCCGGTCCCACCTGTTTCTGACCACTTTCCCCACTGCTTCAGCCTATGATGCTCCTTCCTAGTCTGCAGTTTTAAAACACTGTCTGCCTATCTTGGATGTTCTACCGCTTTCTGTGTAGGATCCCAAGATATCCTCAGGGGTCCCCAACTCCCGGGCCGTGGACCAATACCGGTCTGTGGCCTGTTAGGAACCAGGCTGCACAGCAGGAAGTGACCGGTGGGCAAGCTAAGAAAGCTTCATCTGTATTTGCAGCTGCGCCCTAGCATTGGCATCACCGCCTCAGCTCCACCTCAGATCATCAGGCATTAGATTCTCATAGGAGCACGGGTCCCTGGTCTAAAAAGAGGTTGGGGACCACTGCTCTACGGGACTCCCTTGCATGCCTTTCTCAGAGAAAGACACTGACTCCAGGGGCATAGTAATATACCTGCTGACTAAGGGAACGAGTCATCTGAGCACTGTGGCACTTCATTCAACCCCTCTCAATGTGACCAGCACCTGCCCTCTTTCCTTCCTCCATTTGCTCTACCAGTATATCCTGAGCACTGCTGCCATCCAGCTCTAGGACTGAACAATGAATACGGCCTCACTCAGAGCTCCCACCCTCACAGGGCTGAGGTCTAGAGGCCATTCCTCTAACTGGGTGCTGCCTCCAGTTCTTCAGGAAGTGGGTATGCTTTCTTTTTGATAACCTATATTACTTAACCCAATTCTACCTCAGAGCTAAAGGGATTTTCCCAGAGCGAGATGCTATATCAAGAAAGATAGGCTTCTGGCAATTTTCTTTTACTATTTTAGGAGAGAACTCCAAATGCTGATAGGAATTACCTGTCAACATTCAGAAGGAAAGCCACACTCTCGCTTCCTCAATTAATCCCCTGAAGAAACTGCTCAAGGTTGCAGTTTAAGCAAAAGATAGGCCAAGGACAAGGACTGGACGAGGGCTTCAGTAGAAGGATGCATGCTTCTCTGCCTTGGACTTGGAGAGAGTCCGAACCACCCACGTGGCGCATTCGAGGGACTAAAAGATGGTCAAGAGAAACCTGGCCAAGGTTAAATAATTCCAGCTCACAGTCATACAAATTTAGAGTGACGGTCCCTAACTCTAAGAAGTTCAGAGCACAGTTCTGATTATTAAGGGCCCAGATTTTAAGTGACTATAGAACTGTCAGGAATATTCTTTTCTCCAGTGGAATCCACAGTTTGAAATAACAGCAACTATATCAGCACACAAACAGCATACAGAGAAAATTAAATTAGAATGAATCTCAACAATTCCTTTTAAGGAGAAAAAAATTTTAAAAGACTTTTCAAAATTATTATTCAAGAGACACTGCTATGTTTCACAATCATAGGAGAACAAGAGGATAGCAATCCTTACAAGGGGGTCTTAGTGTCTTAAAAAGGCCTAATGATGATCATTAGTAATGGTCACACAATTAATGAAGAAGCCACAGAACAACAGTGATCAAAAAGTTTTTGGTCAGGCCAAGAACTTGCCTGCCTCCAGACCGCCTTAACAGCAGAATTCTCTAGCAAAGTTGGCCTGATAGGCACAAAGGACAGTATATCTCAGAAGGCCTTGTTGCCAACGAGAGTGATGACAGCCCAGGGCCACGACTTCATCTGTCCTCCTCCAGAAAGAAGTTTGCACCAAGTCTGTTTGCAATGAGTTAAGCTTCTAGGCCAATCACTGCCACTCATCACCCTAATATGCATTTCATCTATTCCTGTACTTCCTAAAAGAGCAGCATTCACTTCTTTTTTTCTCATTCACTCCTCAACATAACAAAAGCTGGCTTCCACCTTTCCAAATGTGGTCAGAGATCTCTGGCAAGGAAATGTGTCAGTTCTCTTAACACACACACACACACACAGCGCGCACGCGCGTGCGTGAAAAGATGCTCAATATCAACAGCTATTAGGGAAACACAAATCAAAACCACAATATGCCAATTCACTCATTAGCACGGCTATCATCAAGAAAGACATATAAGAACAAGTGTTGGTGAGGATGTAGAGAAACTGGAACCCTTATATATTGTGGGTGGGAATGTACAATGGTGCGGCTGGTGTGGAAAGAGTCTGGCTGTTCCTCAAACAGTTAAGCACAGAGTTACCAAAGGACTCAGCCAACCCTGCTTAAGAATTCTGCCAAGAGAAATGAAAACATATGTCCAAAGAAAAAAAAACATACAGAAATGTTCATAGCAGCATTATTCATTATAGACGCACACACACACAAAAGAACCAAATGTCCATTGACTGACAAATGGATGATTCCTGAAAACATTATGAAGTGAAAAAAGGCAGTTATAAAAGACCACAATGACTCCATTTATATAAAACGTCTAGAATAAGCAAACCTATAGAGGCAGCAAGTACAATAGTAGTTGCTTAGGGTTCAAGGAGAATGGGGTGTTGGGAGGTGACAACTAAGGCACGAAGGTCTAATTTGAGGGGATAAAGAAAATGCTCTAAAATTTGCGGTGATGGTTGCACAATTCTATGGATATTTTAAAAGCCATTGAATTACACACTTTGAATGGGAGAACTGTATGATCGGTGACTCATCTCTCAATAAAACGGTTACCAAAAAGAGAGAGAAAGCCCACCTCCAAAGTTGGGGGTAGAGAAGGAGCTCTATTTGCAGACGAGCAGAGAAGCCTCCTGGACCCACTGCAGGTTCAGAGAGTACCCAACCCTTCCCTCACTCCCCACAGCACAGTCAGAACCAGGTTGTACCATTATGAAGGGCTGACCACAGGCCTAGCAACAGAAGGAAACTACGTAGAAATCTGCCACCAGCTCAACAGATATGGCCACTCTTACAAGCTCCGGAACAACCTAACAGGCTGCCCAGCAGATGGCTCTTGGCCTGGCTTACTGAGCAGATGCCAATTTTTCAAACAGCCTGACAATACC